GACTTCTCTGGCAACTTTTTTTGTATCTAAACAATGTCTTATTTCTTCAGTATGGATAGGAAAGGGAAAGAAAAATCGACGATGACAATCAAACCAACAACTCTTCCTATCATTTTTCAGTTGAAAATCATATGTCGATCCAAGACAATGTGGACAAGAAAAACTTCCATGTTTAGTTTATCCGGACAACATCCTATAAGCAGGAAAGTCACCTATCATCGACAGCATAATTGCTCAAATCGTAAAAAAAAATTTCGTGGAACAAACATACGTCCTAACCCCTTTTGACCACAAGTCTTTCAGCTCTTGTATCAATGATTGAAGAAAAACATTTAACGGCCATTTTGGATGCTTTTGACCAGGGACTAATATGGTCAAGAATATAAATTCTTGTTCCGACAACATCTCTGGAGGCAAATTGTATGGCGTAAGAATGACTGGCAACAAATAATATTGTCTTCCAGATATTCCAAATTGACTAAATCATTATGTGCATAACCCAAGACAGAAATTCCAAATATTTCTAGCAAAACTTGGATGTACCTTGTTGAAATGTTTTCACGCTCTTGCACCTGGTGGATGAGCGATATCACCATCCCTCTAGACATATTCAGCATGCCACCTCATCGCTCCGGCAGTCCTCTCAGATGAATATAAACTTTTCAACACGTATGTAATTTGTAAATATCACATCCTTTGGTACGGTACCATACTCCTCCCCCGTCCTTGCTGTTTGAATCGTGGCTTGCAGAATCGACACTCTTCCAGCTTCTCATCGTCTCTCAAGTAGAACATGCAGTTGTCGATGCAAACATATATCATCTCTAAAGGCAACCCAAGACTATATACCGATTTCTGTATCTCATAATAAGATTCAGCTGAGACGTTGTCTTCTGGCAAATACTCTTTAAACAACTCGGCCAATGCATCCATAAAAAATCTCAGGTAAACTATGATCCATTTTAATATTCCTCATCCTAGCTGCTAAAGAAAATTTAGAGAGACCTTCTCTAAAACCAGTGTAGATTGGTTGATTTTCAGCATCTAGTATTTCATAAAACATGTTTGCATCCAAATTAGGTTCTTCAATATTTCCAGTTTCATCAGCTATTTTTGTAGTAGTTTCTATAAATGAATTACTAATCATGTCGTGAACCTTATTGTAGATCCTAAAATCTACACTAAGTATTTTGTAGTGATTAAGGGTTAAATCTAGGGAACAAATGATGTGGGAAACAATGCTCTTAGACAACGATACAGTCGGAATTTAATTGACAAAAATGAACTTTATTGATATGGGATTTGATACAAATAAGTAATCAAGATCGAAAGTAACAAAATGAGATCGAAACTAAAACAAGTTTAGGACTAAAGAAATGAGGTCGATGAGAGTAATGGTGAGCTCTAGGGTTTTCCGTGTGTTGTGTTCTTCATTCTTCTCCTTTTATAGTCGATCTCTCCTTCTTGATCACCCTAGTGTCTCTGGTCTTCTCCTGGGTCATGGGCCTTTCGGCATGTTTACGTTGACTTTGGGATTGGGCCCATCTATTAACTCTTCGTGCTCATCGCGGATCGGACCTTGTGAGGGGTCAATCTTATTGGGCTGGATTTGGGCCTAGCATTTGCTTCCCAGTGCTTTTAGTTTGAGAAAAGGCGAAATTCTAATCAACCGTCTGACGTCGTTACATGTCTTGGGAAGTTGGGCGCCACGTGTGCCGATCTGCGGGATTTTTTTGCCACCTTTTGGATCGTGGATCAAGATCAATCGTCGACGTCATCTGCTTCGAGAACCGTTTTCAACTGCTTAAATAAGTTTTCTTCTTTGTTTGATAATCAAACTTTGCCGCTTCTCTCTTTCTTCTTTTATATTCTTTTATTTTCTCTACTGAGATTCTAATGGCTGATGATAACTTTGGTCCTCATATTCCCACGATCCTCATATGTTATATTTGAGTTTTTTAAAGCAATTATATCTTAGGATTCAAAACTCTAACAAAGTCATCATACATTACGGATAACTTATTGAGTTAAGTAAAGAGATCAAATATCGATTCCATGAATTCATTTTTACCTTCACGATTTCTTTTTAGAAAACTTACTTTTATAGTATCTTTTTAATTGTTTTGATTCGTGATTTTCAATCAGAATTTTCATGGTCGTACAAGATTAACTCAATAAACCTACTTCCTGATTATCGCTTGTATCAGACTAAATATTGCGAACAATATTTATTTAAAACTAATTTACAAAACAATTTTCAAAATGTTTATAGTTCGACCTGCAACAGTTCTGCGAACGCTCTTTAGTTATTCTACAGAATGTTGTGGTCTATAAGACGAATCATATTAGAAACGATTTATGCGATTTTCTTTGACATGTTCGCGATCTCATTTTTCTTTTTAAAAATGATATATTTGATTAAAATAGCGTTTAAAACACCTTTTATGTGAGTTTTACAAAACACTATTAATCATTTAAGAACTTTTAAATCAATATATGTAAACATTTTGAACGACTTAATGTTTTAGTCGCTTATTTGAATTAATTTCTCAATACTTCCTATGATTTGTGTTCTGTGAATGTATTCAATGATGGCTGACAGTAACAACAACACTGATACAAATAGGGAGATTGGTACTTCAAACAATGCGATGACAACCCAAAATGGGAATCGTCAACCACTTGAAACACTATCTACACACGTTCTATCTGTGCTTAGCAACATGAACAGACTTCAGCCCAAAAAATTCAATGGTACAAATTCATGCAGTGGTAGCAAATAAAAACTTTTTCTGAGTAGCTTTAATTTGGCTGGGTACCTCATTGAGATCAAACCAGTGCTGCCTGCAGATAATACTGATCCAAGGACTCTTATAGCATTTAAGCGTGGAAGCATGGCAGTATATTGCTTGATTGGGAAGCTTTCCCCTAATTGAGCAGACTTCAAAAACTACCTTTCTTACAAGGAAAGGCCTTAGAAGTTGGAAAATATGATTACCCGGTAAACATTCCAATCCAGACCGTAAGAGCATCCCCACTAGAAGATTTTTGTTCAATGGTTCTAAAAATACATATATGTATGTATATATTATATATGTGTATATAACTATGGAATTCTAAGTTTTACGTACGGGAAATCTAACCAAAATCAAAAAGTCAAAAACCAAAACAAAAACAAAAAAACTTAAATTAAAAACTAGTTCAAACAATAATCATAACGTGAAAATTTCTTTCATAATATGGAGGTTGTTTTATATGCTAATCCGAGAGGGCGTACTTATGAAGATAGCTATTGGAGAAATTAATTCATGAAATTATATGATTAATAATGAACATGTGAAATAAGAGTAATTGATCACAATATATTGATGTGGTTCCATAGTGTGTCTAAAACATAACCACTAAGGCACTGACAAGATCACAAGTAATCAACCAGATACAAACAAGCGAATTGATTACAAATCATCACAATTATTAACTTTTCGTTTTAAAAATTATGAATAACTACATATATAGATTGATCATTGGCATTGGTTGAGCTACACATTAAGATGCCTTTTAAAAAAAATTATACTTTTCTTCCAGTAAGCTCAAGACATCTCCCGCTCGGTGGTTATAAACAGTTCTTTAAGGTCCTTTAACCAAAAAAAAAGAAGTTCTTTAAGGTCGTCGTAAATAGTTTAGTAAAGAAAATCATCGTACAATTACAAAGATTCAATAATACTTTGTTTTCTTGCATAATTTAAATCGACTTGTTTAGTAATTCAAAAATGAAAATGGGTTATATTACTTATTAGGAACAGCCTAACAGCAGGTGTGGCGATGTTTCTACGGTGATCTGAACAGAAGACCTAAACACATGCTAACGATGGCCCACTCGACAGTCTGTGTTCACCTTCTGCTTCATTTCTTTTTTACATCTTTTTTCTTCTAATAATGTTCTTTATGTCCAACATTTTTAAGTTCTTATTGATAGTTTAGCACGAACATGTTAATCAATGATTAGTTTATATAAATATTATCAACTAGTTTCAACCAACTAAACCCCTTTCCTAGAGCTTACCAAAATCCGGCAAGTCCAACGTTCTCCCATGAGTCATGGGCCATGACCATCCACATAAATTCAGTCGACCCGCGAATCGTGATAACATTATACAAATGTTTCTTTCGACAAATCTTTTTGTTTGGACAAAACCTAAACAAATGTTATAGGGAAATTGGGTTCTATAACTACACAAAAACCCTTAATTAGTCAAATAACCAAAATCACATTCTCTCTCCCCTTCTTTCTTCCTATCTCTCTCTACTCTCTCTCCTAAAAACCCAATTTTCTTTTTTTTTCCTAGCTATTTGGCAAATAAACCCAATGTTATATCACATTTTTATCAGAAAAAATGTTATACCAATTTTAGTATATGGTTGCACTATATGACTATGAATATTCATTAATCGATGCCAAATTGCCAATTATCATTTGTAAAGTAAACACTAAATTAGGTGCTAGATTTTATTGTAAAGAAAACTTAAATTAGGTGCTAATTTTTAAATAACATAAAGTTTAAATATGTAGAAAATAAAAATCGATGAATGTCTCATAATAACATGCTGTTTAGTAAAACTGTGTCATTAAGAGAAATAGCATACAATTAAATATTGTTTTCAAGAAAAAAAATTGATAGTCATTTGATTAAAAAAAAGATATATATATATATATAATTCGATGGTATTGCAAAAATTATCTCATTTATATTTGGAATATCATAAAATTAAGGATCAAATAAATTTGTGAGAGCTAATTAAGCAAATGACATAATATTTGTCAAAATATCCCAATATTTTAGAGAGGGGATCAATATTTGATTCTAATTTTATGCTACTTAGAGAAATATTATATCATTTACTTGAATTAACTCTCAAAAATATACTTGATCCTTAATTTTATGATACTATAAATATTCACCCTCACTATACGCCAAATACATATACTTGATCCTGAACTTACAAGACAACTCCACGCAAAACAAATAAAACTAAACTTATAAATAGCGTTTCCCATCACTAACTTCTGTTCACAGATCGTCTCACCAAATACCAAAAAGAAAACGCAAACGCGATTTCTCTCTTCTCTCTGAGATTCTCTCGTCCATGGCGGACATCGACATCAGCGTCGGGAACGAGCCGCTGATCAGCAACGAGAACAACACAAACAAAGTCTTTAACCGATGCGTCTCGTACCAGCAAGACGAGCTACAGAGCTTCCGTAAATACCTGAGATGGATGTGCGTGGACCAGTCCTGTCTATGGACTGCGATCCTCTCTTGGACCATGTTCGTCGTCTTCACCCTCGTGGTTCCTGCGATCTCTCACTTCCTCCTCGCGTGCGCCGATTGCGACAGTTACCATTCAAGACCGTACGACTCCGTCGTACAGCTGTCTCTCAGCAGCGTCGCCGCCGTCTCTTTCCTCTGCCTCACCAGGTTCGTCAGCAAGTACGGTCTCCGACGGTTCCTCTTCTTTGATAAGCTATGGGACGAGAGCGAAACCGTTCGCCGAAACTACACCAATCAACTCAATGTGAGTTTCTCAAAAACTAATTAAGTAAATTGATTTTATTAGTTTCTACCGTTTTTTAATTCATAGAGATTATTACAGAACTGGTAAAAAGACAAATCTGCTGTGTTCTGTTTGAAAATTTTGGATCGTACTTCTTCCAGATCATGTCGGAGTATGTTGAAGTTAGACTAACAATAGATCTTTTTCGCTAATGGTGTAAAGTGTAAAACAAGTCATCTTTGCCACACAAAAAGTAAAGTTGAAAAAAAGTATATAGCAATTATTGTAAAAGGAATTAATATTCTCTTCTTGTGGCAAATAATTTGTACAAAGAATATAGACAAGATAGACAAAAATAATAGAACAAATGGGAAGAATCATCATGAATATTATAAAGTTAGGAAACTACTCGACGCATCTTTAAGGGTTGAGTATCGAAGACAAAAGAAAATATAACTATTATATGATTGTGATTTTCTTCCTTAACTTTTATTTAGGAAAATAGCTTCTTCCCTTATAAACCATATATAAAATGTTGATTACCAGTTGACTTTTTAAGCTGACGAGAAAGCTGACTAATACAAATACATAAAATATGTAAATATTTAAACTTACTAAACAACTTTTTGAGATATGATCAGTTTTATCAAAACCATAAAACAATATTCCCTTATTTTGCCAAAGACTGTCTAACAAATCTTATTTGGATTAAGAAAATTATAAATATACTAATATACTTTAATTTATTGTAGGATTAATTAAATGAAAATGAGTTAAATAAAATATATTCCTTCCGTTTCACTTTAATTGTCATTTTAGGATTTTGCACTTAGATTAAGGAAATATTTAATTTTACATATTTTGAAGATAAAAACACAATTAATTATACACTTAACCACTTTTTAACCAATAAAAAAATAAAATATTATATAAAATTAATAATATTTATCTCGAAACTCTAAAACGATACTTAATTTGTGACGAAAAATAAGTTTAGAATAACAAGTATTTTGAAATGGATGGAGTATTGATTATTTAAAACGACAAAAGATAAATTTAATATGTAAAGTCACATTGATAACGACAATATTTTTTTTTTTAAAAACGAAAAATGGCACTATTTATGAAACATATGAAAAAGTACTGATTTTTCCGTTAACGGTTAAATACACCGTTTTAATCTTACTTAAATTTGATTAAACGATTTTTAGTTTATTGAAGAGATCAAATGACATCATTTTGATATTCTATTAAACTACATAGTACTATTCAACATGCTTCTCACGTCAGCAAGATTTAATACAATTTACAATCTTGATAAATTGACTATTATATAAAAATCATGTAGCAAATTCAATATTTAGAATCTAGATAGTTCACTAAGGGAACCTTTTTCCTTTTCTTCAAGTCCAGAACTTTGGTGAATTCTCTGTAGTTGTTTTACCATAATAGTACTTGTTCCACAAGCATTAATGAACCAGACAATAATAACTTATTAATGTATTTTGCTTTTGCAGACGTCGCTTCATATTGTCTCCTACTTCGTGATCCCATGTTTCTTAGCAATGAGTGCTTACAAAATATGGTGGTACGCTTCAGGGGGATCTCAAATACCGTTTTTGGGAAACGTTATCTTAAGCGATACAGTGGCTTGTGTTATGGAGCTTTGTTCTTGGCTTTACCGGACATCCGTAATCTTCCTTGTCTGTGTTCTCTTCCGTCTCATTTGCCATCTTCAGATCCTTCGCCTACAGGACTTTGCTAAGCTCTTTCAGATTGATTCAGATGTTGGTTCTATCTTGTCTGAACATCTTCGTATCAGACGTCATCTCAGAATCATCAGCCATAGATATCGCTCTTTCATTCTATGCTTGTTGGTTCTTGTCACTGGAAGTCAGTTTTCTTCTCTGCTTATTACCACCAAAGCTTACACTGAAGTCAATATCTACAGAGCTGGAGAACTCGCGGTAAGTTTCCTTCACTCCTAGACACGATCTGAGATTTTTATGAAGACATAAACATTTATAAGTTAACTTAAATCAAACAACAAAAATCGGCAATCCGGGGGCTATATAACCTATGTATATTAGCTTTTAAATTTTTTGGGGCCAAGACCAAATATTTCATTTGAATGTCCCAAAACCAGCCATGTTTACAAGACTATATATAGTAATGTCTGTTTCTGAATATACTCATTTTAGGAAACATTTATAAGTTAATCTTAATGAAAACCAGCCATGTTTACAAAACTATGGTAATGTCCGTTTCTGAATTTACCCAATACTTGAGAAACTCATTTTGTGTGCTTTTATCTTCAGCTTTGTTCCATGACATTAGTCACTGCATTGCTCATACTATTACGAAGTGCGTCAAAGATCACACACAAGGCTCAAGCCGTGACATGCTTAGCTGCGAAATGGCATGTATGCGCAACGTTAGAATCTTTTGAGATAGCAGATGCAGAGACTCCAACTTTGGTTGCTAGAAACAGCCATAACAATAAAGGCAACGATGTTATCACGTCTCCAGGATCAGATAGTGAAGATTATGGTGACGAAGAAGATGATCTAGACAACAATAACATCATTCCTGCTTATGCTTTCAGTACCATGTCATTCCAAAAACGACAAGCTCTAGGTAAATAAACAAAAAAAAAAAAGATTCTGCAATGCTTTTGTACTAATGGACTCTTACTTAACTATGTCTGGTTGGATTTTGTTTGTTTGTAGTGAGTTATTTCGAGAATAACAGAGCAGGAATCACAGTTTATGGATTTACACTTGACAGAGGTACCCTCCATACAATTTTCGGACTTGAATTGTCTCTTGTTCTCTGGCTTCTTGGTAAAACCATTGGCATTTCTTGAATCTCTTATATGAGGTCATCAAGAATGTTTTGGCACTATTATCACTTTGAAATTCTTTCTTTTTCTTTTTCTTTCACTGTAAATTAGTTATCTTTGCTTTAAGTACGCCAATGTATTCTTATTGTTATAGAGTTCATATTATTGTATATTAGATTCAAAATAAAAATCTCTTTTCCTTTCCTACATTTCACATTGTCTTTTAAAATCTGCAAATGATTGTGTACTTTTAGCAAGAAAAAAGAAATTATGTTCAGTGTCTTGCATTACAATTACATCATGTTAGTAGATGATGTACGAGTTTATAAGGGTACAGTCAATTAATGAGTTATCTAACAAGAGTGACGTAGCTAAGCTACAAAACAAGAACTGAATCGTTCACTACTTAAGCTCACACAGATTAAACAGAGGACAAAGATCCGGTAATCATCATTTACTATGTAATATACTTGATCCATCAACAACATATTTGCTCGGTTGTTTTTTGTTCTCTACTTCTGGAGGATTACGAGTCTCACAGTGGGACACCGGTTCTGAAGGATCATCACACTCAGCAAATTCCCTACAAGACCTTGTGATTCATTGTTAGTACCAACTAGGTTCTCCCAATTCGCATTGCGGTCACACCAGCAATGGAATCGAATTGAGTGGAATTTCTTGTTCTTGTAATATTATACTTGAAAGCCAAGAAACTGAATGAACGGAAAGAAGGAAGATCAAACCCTACCAAGAATAGGCAAAGCACAAATGTAGAAATTGGAAAATATGTGTTTTTTTCCTGTTTTCTTTTTTGGATTTGTAAGATTATTTAGCTGAGATATATCTTTGGGTAACCATCCAATCATATAGTTTTAAGTTGTACATGTGAATCAGTTTTTCTAATATGTCATTTGCTTATGTTCCAACCAAGTTTTTTTCCGTCTATAGATGACTTGAATTGGCATAAAAATTCAAGAATTAGCTTTAACTTAGTGGTGATTATGTTTGATATCTGAACAAGTTAAACAATAGTAGCTATCTTTTCTTGATCTGGATATCTCACATGAATCATACTATCACGTATAGTGACAGTTTTGTTTTATATACAGAGCAAGATTAGTGGTCTTTTCATAGAAGGACGCCCTTAATAGTAGCAATGAAATATTTATTCATTTCAAAAGTCTTGCAAGGAAATCATAAATGATGACTTTGTAGTTCCTTTATTGAAATTCTGACTGCGCACGAATTGGAGTTAATTTGTCCCGACAGTGTTCGTGAGACGACAAAAAAAAAAGTAAAAAGAAAATGAGAAATTAAATTATGGGAAAAAAATAAGAGGTCAAGTGTAAATTGTTTCTGAAACTCTTCAAAAGAACCGCGTTATATGGTCAAACGCTTTAAAAGCAAAAGTTGGGCCCATTCAACTGGTCGGCGTTTTGGTTGTGAACGAAAGTGTAACGTGTGAACATTCGAGTACACACCCTGTGCTGGTCCTCGAGCGTCCATACCAATTTTGTTCGTGCTGGAAATTAGTTTGTTCTTGGTTAAAAATTGATATATGATATTTTACCAAAAATAAATAAAATTGATATCTGATGAAGATAATATTTTCTCTGAATTTAACACCAGACCCCGGCTTTAGAGGAATCTGAAAAAGCATGGATTACCGATCCTAAATATTTATTATTTCCTCTCCAGAATGATAAATTTATTGGAGAATAATTATTTCACAAGTACATACACTTTTGCGTACAGAGTTATAGTTGATTTGAATATTGAGAGAGAGAGAGAGAGAGAGAGAGTCTATATGTGGACTACACATTCTGGTAAAAAATTTAGATCAAAATTATTTTTAGATTAATCAAAACAGAATATTTTTTTTGTGTTTTGTTAAATATTTATTATTAATGTAGAAATTTTTAATATTTAAAATAATTAATTTCTTAAATTAATATTGATTTAACTCCATTAAAACCTGGTAATCATAAGAATGGTACATTTATGATATAAATTAATATTTGTGAACAAATGAATAAATCTATATTTGTAAAGTTTCTTTTAGTCTAGTGATGTAAGTAGTGTGGTATATATATCAACATCTCGAGTCCAGATTGTGAGTTTGAAAATTTTCAGCCTTTGTTCTTATAGCTGATGGTCTTCTATAATTCATGTCTGCTACAGCTTAACACCACATTAAAAATACAATATTTAAAGAATTATTTGTAGATTTACGCTGCAATGAACAAAAGTGACCTGTTGCACAAACGCTAGAACAACCCACAATTTGATTCTTGAGAATTTATGTTATTGGATTATCTTTTGAAGATGTATTTGTTATGTGCTAAAGTAGCTGATTTATCTTTATTGGATTATACTATTTTCAACCCCATTTTTTGGTATTTTTTTAAAATCTTATCGGCTATCCGATTAGTTCTGAAAATAACACATTTAATTCTATTGAATGTATTGGTTGTTATATTGTTTGATCTAAGTTAAAAATATTATGATTAATGTTAAGAATAATTCGACTATATACTATTAGACTATCATGTAAATTGTATGGGTTGAAGACTAAATCCAAACTGGTAAAATAGTTGTACATTTGTTCTTACCTCAAATGGAATCTAAATCAAATAGATTTTTGACGCGTCTCAAATTAGTTTTTATCACTAAATTATCATCATTAGTTTTTCTATTTAGTATTCTTAAAATATGTCGATTTTACCACTTTTGTATAACTAAGGATGTTCTTTGAACGTAATGAATGTAATAAAATGAATACCAATTAAATTTTACCTAAAATACATCAATTCTTAATTATGTACTGTATTATCTGTATATACCATTTGTAATAAGTATATTGTTGGAAAATGTGTTAATGTTATGTTGTGTATCACTGATTAGATTATAATCATCACCTGTCATTCATATTTAAACAACTCATTAATCTTTGTATAAAGGTATCTTCAATCATAACACCAAATTTGGTAAAAATTACACCACATTTGGTGTTTTGTTGTTAAACTTTTTTTTCATCTCCAACCTTCACACCAAATTCTACATCAAAATAATATTTATATTATTAATTTATTTGTTTTGATAACTTAATTAAAAAAAATTATAATTGACTAATTATATTTATCAAAATTAGTTTTTATATTTATCTATTAAAATTTACTAATTTCATCTTTATGTTTGTCTATATATGTTATTTTTTCTTTTACTTAATTTCTATACTTATTTATTTATTCTATAAAAGTATTCTTCAAAATTAAAGTTTACATATTTAAAATGATTTTTTTATAATTTAATGTACTTAATAATACTCATTTAATTATATTATTAATGAAAAATATAAATAAAGTAATAGTCTAAATCTTCAGTAATGTGAAAATACATATAAAACATAGAAATAATATGATATATTCTTTTTAACTGTCAATTAAAACTAATTAATAAAATTCAGCTATTTATAATTAAATAAAAAGTAGTAAAATATATTATTTTAATTGGTGTGGTGATTAGTTTTACACCAAATCTGAAATCTAGTGTAATACTATTCATTTAACACCAAATTTAGTGGAATGATGTACTCTCGTTGTTTCACTTTAGTTGTCGTTTTAGTTTTGTACACATAAATTAAGAAAACATTTAATTTTATATATTTTCAAAATAAAAATATAATTACCTATACACCTAATCACTTTTCAATCAATAAAAAAATAGATAAAATTACTAAATTTTGTATTGAAATATAAAACACTTATTTTAAAATGATAATTTTTTTCTATAATGACAATTAAATTGAAATAGAAGAAATAATTTTTAATGTTTTATTAGAGACAAAATCACACGAAATTTAATGTTTTGATGTTTCATTCGAATTGGTTTAACAACGACTATAATGTAAAAATCCACATATTTTATGTAAGACCCTGAATAATTATGCTAGTAAATAAAAAAAGAGTGGATAAAAAGCAAAGAATAATCACAAACTTTTAGGCCTGCGAGGGAGAAGTGTCGGACCAACCTCTGGCTTGCACGTGTGGCGTCAGCTCATCTCTTTTCCTTTCTTTCGATCTCATCGAGGATTGCGTCTGTGCGGACTATTTTAGCCTTGCCTTTTACCAGACCTAAAGATCATGGTTCAAGTACAATTATATGGTGAAATTGAGTTGTAAGGCATTACATATCACAATATATGTTTTAGTATGTTTATGACATTAGTTAAGTATGTACTTTTGTTGTTCATTGAAGACTCGAGGTTTACCAACAAAGGAAATCAAAGATGATTATTGTTATCATACATTCGTGATTCATCCACCCATAGTATAATAAATCACCATCGTCATTTAATTTATTTTTCTTGTCATCGCAATGACTCGGTTGGTACATTCTTTATTTTTATTCCAAGGACTTTAACATTAACATAAAGGACCATGTGTTATTATTATACTCGAATGATGATGATAACTAACCCGTGGTTTTGCTTTCGCTCGTGTTTCTTTCATTACGAGGAATTAGAAAACTATATAATAATTTGATCAAAAAAAAAAAACTATATAATAAATAGACAAATGGAATACAAATTAGGTTTGTAATGGTCTACGTGGTGAACACCGTCCATATATTATATGATTGATCTTGGTTCCATGAAATTTCAAGCTAGGTTAAAAATATATGATGTTTCGATTTACAGAACAAAACAAAAACTGTTACAACTAGAATGACGTAACCAGAATAGATTTGAACTCTGGTAAAAGATGGCAACCCCCCACGACATCTCAACGACTCTCATTAACTTCCAAGTCTCAGACTCCATCATTTGTTAGATGAAAAGCTTCGTAGCATTTGTGGGATTAATGGTTTCCATTAGTACTAGTAGCACCACAAAACACGGAAGAAACGCAAAAACTGAAAATTAGTCCCAAAATATACTCCAAATGGAATCATTACCCAAAATATAGAAAGCTACTAAATTAAATAATCTCAGGAATCATATCTATTATATCTATTATATTAAAAGAGAAATCATGACTTCTCATTCATGTGTGATTTTTTATAAAATGGACTATCTACTAGAGTTGGTCACATTATATATTTAATCATTAATAACATTTATTAGATTCACTAATAACATTTATTGGGCTTACTATAAATTTTTAATGGGCTAATAAAAATTAGATGATCCATTGAATTT